ACTCATATATATATATATATACCACACTAGAGCTGCATAATGTGCTATTGGCGACTGTTTGAGAAACATACCTGTGGATGATCCGAAGACATGCCATCACAAATCTTGATCCTCTTCAGGCGAGATCTTATTTGTGTATCCAATTTTTCAATTTAGGCAGAGATTTGAAGTGGAAGGAAATTTTCTCCAGTTCCCTGTACCCATGGCATTGCTCAGCGATCGTCTACAGGACTTTCGATTCCATTTCACTTATACTTGGTGGGTCTTCGCGTAGTCGAGAATCGTACCTTGCCCCCTCCATTCTGTAGTATGATTTCTTAACCTATGGGCTACGAAAGCCAGTAGATATGCACCATTAAATCCAGTAAATGAAATATTTTTTTCTACTAAATATTAAAACATGATTTTATTTTTCTATTCACTTATTTTTTTTTCCTGCAGCAGATTTGTTCGTATAATAAATCTAAACTTTACGAAAATAATGTTGCTATATATTTATTTAGCTTAATTGCACCAAAAAGGTTAAGGCCATTTTATCTGTGGGAAATTGAGTGAGATAATCGAAATCTTCTTTTTAGAGTTGGCTTCATACTGGAACTTCTGTGCTTATGAATGTAGTGTTGCTACAAATAATAGTACTTAAATAGTGCGTTAATAGCTACAAATAAACTCGATGAGAAATGATCGAAAATTCAAAAGCATAACTCACGAGAGAAAATAGTTAACCATAGTGTTGGCCTGCCTTCCTGCACGTTCGCTTACCTTTATTCTTACGTACGTTTATGTAAACAAATTTGTTTCATTTTTCTCTTATTATTTCTGAAGGAATCAACATGCCGACTTATTATTTTGTCTTATACATTATTTTAGGATCCATGACATGTATTTGGTTTGTATTTTGGGCTTTCTTGATCTATGAAAAACCATCCGTCCATCCTGGGATATCAAGAGAAGAATTACTTTTTATAGAATTAAACAATGACGAACAGGATAAAAAGGTACGCCATTGTTTGCATTTTTAATGCATTCGAAAGACTCGGGACATTGTAGTCTTAAGCTCCACTTTTACTTATAACTAACTGTTCCTCTCTATTGTTTTTCTATTGTTTTCAGATATATAGATTGCACGGGTTTTTGAGTTTCTTTTTGGCAACAGCACAATACACAGAAATATCGTATTGCGTACAAGTAAATCGTGGTGTTCAAGTCAAAAATGCTTTTTTTTTTTGATAGTTTGAAAATGTCGTCGAGCAACCAAAACGAAGAAGCAGTTCTTCTTACAGAGCATTAAAATTGTGATGGCATATATCCGACGCCAGCTATAGTCCCCTTGCTGTCAGGTTAACCATTGGAGGATTTCGTAGTTTTCCTCCTCATGTGACACAAATGAGGGTTAGTTCTATCAAAAAAATCCTCCACGAAGGCAAATTTCTCTCAATACTTGATCCCGAAGTAACCTTGTCTTCTGGATTGGATTTAAAACTACAAGGCTATGCGGAGTTGAACAATAGTAGCCGAAAACTCAAAACTTGGGTCTGCTGTTCAACGACGGTTATAAAATGAAATACCACAACGTGTACAGGCTCTCATCATTCATCTCATTGTTCAGTATGGTGGACACATAAAATACAGATTTCCAACGTTCTTTTTTTTGTCTTGTAAATTTGATCATTCATTTGTAATATAAAAATAATATGTAGAAAAAATTTTATTCATTTCTAACACAGTTCGCAGTTTTCACTAACATTAGTGTATATTGCATTACTCTTGTCACAATAACATAATTTCAATAAATTCAAATAATTCTATTACATAATATATGCTTTACACGCTTGAATTTTATATTTTTTAGAGACCTGCGAATCTGTGGAAAAATATTTTTACTTCAATTCCAATGTGGGCCCTCATTTTGGGCCATTTCGGACATAACTACGGATTTATTGTGTTGTTGTTGGAGCTGCCGACTTACCTCAGTACAGTACTCAATTTCGATTTGAAATCGGTAAGAGTTGCCTTCGTAATTATATCTTAATTTCACTCAATGTCTCAAGAACACAATTTCTTATATAAGGTACAAGGTAGGTTTTTAATCAAAATTATCTATACATTATTTTTCATTGATTTATATATACATTATTTTTCATTGACTTATATATACATTATAAATTCTACATTGGATAGTCTATTTAGTATTTAGACTCTGTGGGTTTATTGTTACTTATACACTTCTTTGACAAATTTTCAACTATCATTTGCATAAATGTCGTTAATTTTCGCTGCTCAAGCAATAAAATACTTGCTTCATAGTGTAGATGGTCCTATTTTTACATATTTTAGATTTTTCTCTCACAAAGTTGCTAAAACATTAAATAACATGATCTTCGCTGTCGATTCTGATCACTTTACTTAGACCATGGCATGCATACTTACTACCGATTTGATGCTTGAAAATATCTCGATTGTGTGGGTATCTCGATCCAGATTGGTTGTTGAAACACGGCATTTGTTTACATTAGCAACTGTTTTTATCATTCTATTTCGAGCAAGCCAAGCCTGACAAGTACCAATTCTCTTAAGCAAGATAGCCTATATTCTTTCACAAAGATTTGAAATTTGCCACTGTATATTTTGACAAAGACATGCACAAAGCTATGTGGAACATAAACAAACTCACTATGCATCGAAGTTGCCATGTGCAAAAAACAAAAATATATCACGGTTACAATAAAATACATAGACAAATAATAAATCTAAGTCAAGTAAAAAAGATAGACTAGAAAGAATTATATCTCAATTACTTCGTTCTGCTATACGGCCCTGTGTTTAATTAACTTAACGTTAATTTTAAGTTATACAGAGAAACCTATCTCAACTTTAATACTCCATATTGCTGATAAAGATTAGCTGGTGCTTAAGTCATAGGTCACATGCGTGGGTATAGGTTGTCTTCTTCTTCTTGGAGTGCAAGCACCCAAATTCATTAATTTATAAATTTTGATGGGAAGCTATTTTTTATACCTGAGATTTGTGCTGCCATCTGCTGATTACTTCATAAAAAACTAAAGAAAAATGAAGGCCTTTTTTCATAAATGTAAGTAAGAGTAAAGGCTTGCGTGGTTTCAAGAAGAGATGCCAATACAATGGGGTGTTGTTTTCTCTAGTGTGTTTTGAGTTTGTTCTTTTGATCATTTCCCATCGTGTTTATTTGCAGTTTTAAAGACACTATTACGTTAGATTATTTTTAAGCACTGATGTTTTAGTATATAGCTAATTCTCTACAGTAGATAAAATTTTGAATATCCCACTCACCTTTCCACCAACAAAAATTATCTTAACACTTTCCGGCGCAGTAAATTTGATTGCTAATTGTAAACAGGCAGCACAATAGCAACTGCTTTCGCAGGCCGTGAATTCAACATCAACGCATATTTTAGCTCAGTGCCTGAAAACCGGCATTTTTACTATTCATCTTGATGTTAGGTCTATGAAGGAGGACAGTGCACGTTAAGGAATGTACAAGGTGAGTTAAAAACAAAATGACTTACATACAAAAAAAGCTTGTACACTAAAGAAACATAAACTACAGATGTTTAGACATAGAGGTATCACTACAGAAGAATGCTGCAATTGGTGGAATTGTACAACTTTCTTTAACCTTTAAAGTAAGCGACTTGACAGTTTATGACTTTTGCAAAAAGTTTACGTTTAGATTGTCAATAGGCTTGTTCAATGCTATCGATGCGGTGGTCCCTACGAATACCACTATTAATGGCGTACCATTTGACATTCCTTAGTTTCCTATGCATCATATGTTATGGCATTTTACAAGCTTATGTAGAAGATATTTGGAGATCAAGACAAGATAGGGTATATGTAAATCTAGGTCTTATTACGGAAATAAAAGGAGTCATTTGAGTCTGAGGTTGAGGTTTGATCTATAGAGAAGTATCTGTAGTTTATTGCAGTCAGGATATGTTTTACCATTGACAATGTGATGTTTTCAAGTAAACCTTTTGTTCATGACTAGACCAAGATATTTAGCATGACCAACTTTGGGTATGACTTCATTGAAGAGTACTAGGTGGTCCTGTAGCAGGATCCTATTTCGTTTTTCGTTTCCTTTGTTCAATCTTCTGCAAGAGTTGATATTTTTGTTCATTGATTTGAAATATTTATGCAAGGCACTATTCTTCCATTTCATAGATTTTATATTGGTGTTTTTGCAATTCCAGGTTTGAATCCTTGGAACAATAATTCCAGTATCGCATTTGATAAGTAACAAAAAATGCATTGATACTGTTGCAATATTCTCTTTCAACTAGGGAATCATGAGTGTATGATGTATACAGGATGCGTTCAGGAATACTTCCCTGGGGGAAACTCAATCACAGGGCAGACAACATTCTACATTTTTTTGTAAATATTTATTCTAGTGGTAGCAATGTTTATGTTTTAATGCATTATTTTTTTTATTCATTTAAATTTATTTTCCACACCACATGAATGATTTAAAAACTCTTATACAACGCCACTTTGTCTCTCGTATCAAATGTTGGCAAAATTATCCGAAATTAGGAAAGATTTGGATTTTAAAATGTATACTACTCTAAGAAGTATTTTGCAAAACTCGTAGTAGTTTTCAGACCTGTAGTCTGTAATAATTGTGGTGGGAAAACCATGAATTCAAAGTAAAATTATATGCTTCAGTTCCATTCCTTTTTTTTTAAAAAAAATGTGGTAACTAAGAAAAGGTGGATCCTTAGAAGTAAATAGTTTTAAAATTTTACTGGTAAGAAGTATTTTTTTCTATTTTTGAAGAAGTATTGCCAGATTGCCAATGCTGCATCGAATAGGATTAAAATCATTTTAGCTAGTAAGCGAAATGAATTTTTTTTTTAAAACTTACAGTCAATTTCAATAATTATTTCAGGACTGCCTACATTCTACACTTTTTGCAAATATTTACTATAGTGGTAGCTATGTTTATGCTTTAATGAATTATTTTTTTATTCATTTAAACTTATTTTCCACACCACTACAGATAAACATACCCTCCAACTGCTACGGAATTTCCGTAGTTTCAAAATTCTTCTTTTCAGACGGTAGCAAAATTAATGTCTTAATATTTAAAAAAAATTAATTTTAGCGTAACTTGTCCACTATTACATATAAAAGTGCAGGCCATATGGCTAGATTCTTAAGTTCTGATAACAGTTTTATGAGAGATCCATTTACTTTAAAAATTTCTACTTTGGTTCGCTACCACTAGAAAGAATTATTTTCAAAATCCTCATAAGTTGGAGGGTATGGATAAATGATTTAAAAGTTCATATGTAACGCCATTGTGTTTCAGGTCTACCGTGGGGAGGCTTTTAAAATGTTGGCAAAATTAGCAAAATTCTGCTAATTATAATTTGTAAATGTCTATTACTCTATAAAATATTTTGCAAAAAGTGTAGTAGTTTGCAGGCCTGTGAATTAACCTTTTAACGGGCCATTTATTTCTATTAAAGGTAAATTTAAGTATTTTTGGAATTGAAATTGATATAAGAATAGTTATTGATATATAAAAAAAACTCATTTAGTTTATAAAAGAAAATCTAAATTTTAATGCCATTTTTTTGGTATTAAGTATAATACCATGGCCTATTAGTAACTTATTGACTTTTATTAATCATTATTTATAAAATAAATTTTATAAATGCTACAAACTTATACTTTAATACGTCTTCTTAAACTACCAACTTTATCCAAACGCACTTCAAGAAAGCTGAAGTTATTAACAAATGAAAACCTAAATTAAAATAAGTGGTAAAAAAGTTCACCATGGGCTTTAAAAGTTGGTGGTAAGTATACTTAACACGGCCTTCGAAAGGGTTAAGCAAAACATAACTAGAAAAAAATGCTTGTATAAAAGGATGAACTGGAAATTATACTGCCTCAATTACACAATGCTCAAAATGTTAAATAATAAAAATACTTGAAATTTTAGAGCATTTGGATTTGGAGCTAATTTAAATCATTGTTATATGAAACTATATAACTTAATTAGCACTCAAAAATTTATTTTATTAACAAACAATATATTTTGAAGAAATTTTTCACTGCATTTTATTTTCTATTTAATAGAATGGTTTTTTGTCTGCATTACCTTTTGTTGTTCAAGCTGCCGGCGCATGGATTGCATCATTTATAGCTGATTATTTAAGGCACTCAAACAAGATGTCCATAACAGCTATCAGAAAAATGATGAACTCTATAGGTAAATGCGCAGCATTTTCAATTATAAATAAAGTTTTTATTGTATAATTTAAAGATTTATAATGTACAACTTATTGAATAAATAAAATTTAAAATAAAAATTAGAATAATGTTCTGATATAAAGGGGAGGAGATGTTAACTGTTGAATCCTCATAAAAGGTTAATTTCAAAATGTCATCATTATGAAAATCCTAGTTACGTAATTTTATAACGAAGAAAAATTTATATGGATAGAACTCTTAAAGTTAAAGTATCGGTTTTATCAGCCATGAGACATCATTCCCAGCGTGCTAACTCAATTTTCTTTTAATGCGTTATTTTTTTTTATCAGCAGTCGTTGAACAGCTGACCCAATTTTAAGTTTACTATTACCGAAGTTTTATTTAGTGGTCGTGTAATTTTGAACCTCATCCAGACGACAAGGAAATTTTTGAATCATGTATTGGGGGAAATTTGCCTTCGTGGAGGACTTTTTGATGGAAATAACAATTACTAACAATGGAATAATTTGAGATACTTAAAGAGGAAAAACCACGAAAACCTCCCATGGTAAACCTGACGACAGGGGAAGTCTAACACAAGATCCGTCTACTGCTGAGCACGTCAGCAATGCCATACCTGCCAACTTTTAATCCCTTCCATTATCATTTTTCCCAGTGGTATTAAAATGGAATTAAAACTTCAATTTTAAGCAAACAAATACGTTGTATATGAGCAAACTTAAGTTGACAACCATGATAGTAACGCATATTAATATATGTGCTTAATTTTTGTAAGAATAGTGGTGATCAATATCATTTAAAAATTAAATTTATAAAAGAAAAAAATAGTATATATTTACTACCACTTTAAATATGAAAATAAAATCTCCCGCAAAATCCGGGAGAGTTGGCACGAATGTGAATGGGGTCGGTGCGAGCCGGTTGCGGAATTCACCTCGACCAGCGTTCGCTTTTACAATGCTAAGAAATTATCCCAAGTTTATAATATTTATGTTCCTCTTGAAAAAGGTGTGTAGCAAATTAATAGAAAATTCCTCAGCTTTTTTTCCAAATCATTACGATTAATTATTATTCAATAGTTTTTTTTTTTTAAAAAAATACAACAACTAAAACAGTAGTTTTAGAAATCGAATCTAATGCTTTGCTCAAGCTCTTAAATATCTTTGCCCATTTTTCTAAACCTATATAAGGTCAATATGCTCACGAGTTGAAAAAGATAAGGATTATAACTCAATTACTTCATTATTGAAATTTTCCTTGGAAAAACTAGATCTTAGTGTACAGCGTAATAAATTAATAATATAAATACAATGCATCTGAGATGAAATCTAAAAACTGCGATTTTTTAAAACTATACAGGTAGCCAACACTAGGAAATATCAAATTCTCGTAAGCATAAATTCTCTATCTCTTTTTTTTACATAGGTATTGTTTACTGCTCTACAAAATATTGCGTTTCGCAACAATAATCTCGAATAGGTTAATCTTCGCATTTTGAGATAAATCCATTGTTTATACCAAGCATTTCAAGATCAATCTAATTTCTTCATTACCTCTTTTAATTTTATCAAATACTCATTTAAAGTTAAGTCTATTTTCCTAAAGGGCTGTGTCCATTTTATCAAACTCGTATGAAGTTAAGTCTATTTCTACGCATTTTCAGCCATTTCAGCGTTTAATCGAACTCGCATTTCAAGCAAAGTCTATTTTCATAAATATGAATTTTAAGCTGCGTCTATTTTATCGTAACCGCACTACAAGCTAAGTCTATTGCTATAAATACGTATTTTGAGCTTCCTCAATATGCCTTTTGATCTTTTGTCCATTTTATCAAACGTGCCTTGAGAGCTATGTCTGTTTTCATCAGTACGCCTTTTGAGCTATGGCACTTTTTAAAAACGCGCTATTCAAACTATGTTTTTTCTATACGCCTTTTCATCTGTGGCCGTTTAATAAGAAGAGCCTTAAAAGCTATTTCTGTTTATCTGAACATGTCTTTTGATCCGTGGTCATTTTATCGAACGTGCATTGCAAGCTAAGGCTGTTTTCTTCAATACTCCTTTTGAGCTATGTCCATTTTATAAAACGTGCCTTTCAAGATATGTCTGTTCTTCGCGTAAAATTGCAGAAATTAATTTTGACTCAACAAAAATGTATCCGAAAATATCGTGTTTCCGATCAATCGTGAAACCTTTCGTTTATTTTAAAAAGTACGAAACTGACTAGCAATTGATGCCAATTCAATTTCAGAGGTTTTTGAAATTTTCTGAAAGATTTTGTGAAAATTACATGCACTTTAGCCGCCTTATATATTCTGAAACGTTTGGGGATTTTTTTTACAGTGTACGGGTTTTAAGCTATGTCCATTTTTTCAAACTTGCATTTCAGGTTAAGTCTATTTTCATGAAAGCAAATTTTGAGTTATGCCCATTTAGTCAAACACGAATATTTCAAGTTAAGTCTATTTTAATAGGCACGAAGTTTGATCTATGTCCATTTCTTTCAAGAGCGAATTTCATGATGCGATAATTGACTTTATCACAGCTTTAAAAACATTACATTAAAATAAATAATTGACGTTAAATAGCGTAACACATTTTTTCCCCCAATTGTCAAAGAAATTCCATATTTGTTTTTATTTCCAGGTGAGTTCGGGCCAGCTATTTGTCTCATTGGAGTGACTTTTGCCGGTTGTCAACCATCCCTCACCATAAGTCTCCTCTGTTTGGCTCTAGCTCTTAATGGCTGTGTTTATTCAGGCTACAATATCACGCATGTCGATATGTGCCCAGAATTTGCTGGTAATCATTAAAAACCCTTTTTAATTGTTCCTTATTAGAAACATTTATTTTGAAAAAACATTTTCCTTATTATTGGAGCTCTTGAAATTTAACAGTTCGTTTCTAAAAAAAATTTTTTTTTTCTTCCTAATCAATGTTGATTCAGTAAACTCCATTTAAAATAATTTTGCTAACTACAATATGCAAGCAAATAAACATGTTAAGCCCTAAGTCTATATGTTCTAAATCTTTCTTTACATTCACTTCTACCAAGTCTTGAAATGGACGCCTGTTTATGAGCGCTTGAAACATGCCATTTTGAATATTCTTGAAACGAGGGAATTTTTGAATGAAGTAATTGATTACCAGTTTCTTGAGATTATTTATTCAAATATAAAAGAGGATGAAAATAAAATATCTTTTGAATTTATTTTCAACTTCTGTTTAAAATTATTGGCTGCATGCGTCACGCGTCTTTTCACTATTTCAAAATATTACAATTGTGATCTGGAATAGATAAATCAGGAAATGCCCTATATCTTATTTTTAACGTCTTTCAAACCGTTCATTAGAAAGTATAGATGTAATAATACTAATAATTAGAAACATACTTAAAAGAAAGGTCTATTCCTTCTAACTACCGATTAGAAAGACGGTACATAATTAAAGTATGGGGGCTTTTCATGATTTCAAATCTCAATTGCAATATTTTTAAATAATGAAAAGATAGGTGATACATACACCTAACAATTTGAAAGAGTAGTTGAAAATAAGTTCAAAAGGTATTTCATTTTCAACCACTTATTTTTTTAAATAAATATTTACAAATCTAAATTTCCTTCTCTTCAATAATTTTCAAATTAAATAAATTTCTTTAAATTGGAATTTATTTAATCAACATTAATGCGATTAAGCATGCAATTTACGACCACTCAAAATATGCAATAAAAAAATCCCGAGAAATTGGGAGAAGTTAAAAGACATGATATGTATAGGCGCAACAGCAACGTCTTGTTTCTCTTTTAAAATTTAAGGAATTTAAAAGGTGTGTTGTCCCTTATAGCATGAATGCATTGTGCCTCAAAGTTATAAATATTTTTTATGTATGGGCATAACTAAAATAGCAAAGAATATAAATATAGGCCAAAAAACGTGTTAAATTATCAAACCAACCAAAAAGTATAAAGCTTAAATCAAAAGGCCGTTGTGGCTCAACGGATTGAGCTTGAATCAAATAATGAGCCTGAAACAAACGACCGTAAAATAGTTTTCGAAGGGAAAAAAAGTCATGAAAAATTGCTAAGATTTACATTTGGCGAAGACTTTCCAAAATTAGTGAATTCTTTTGATATTTGGCTAATAATGTGAAATCCTTAACGCGGACGGGTCCTGTTATATATATATATATATANTATATATATATACTGCCCAAAGAAGGGTTTTTTTCCTACACCGGCAGTGACGTCATACTTTGTTTTTCGTATTTTTCTCGTAAACTATGGAACAGACAGGAACGCTTCTTTGGGCAGTTTCTATGTACTCCCAACGTGGAATTTAGCTGTGCAGAGTTTATGCGGTCGTTTTGGGACACCCTGTATATACACACCTACACCAGCATGAAGTTCTCTGAAAATGTGGATGTTTTAAGCATTATTATGTAGTGGTCTTCACACAATCAGAGTTTTAAGTTTTATTAATTTGTTTTATGCCACCATATTTTTTTTAAATTTTAAAAATTCTTTTCCTTTTGAATTCAATTTAGGAACGTTGTATGCAATAACAAACACAATTGCCAATATTACCGGAATACTGGGTCCCATGAGTGTTGGAGTCTTTACAGCGAGTGGTGTAAGTTACATTCTGATTTCTTAAGGTCTTATTTTGTAGTATTGCAAATGACGCTATCTTATAACCTGACAGCAAAAACAAAATAAAATTTGTGGAAAGTCCCTTGATCATTTTAAACTTTATTTTAAAAAGTACAAAAACTACACAGAGAATTGCTCGAAACTTTTTACGTTTTTAAGATATTCGAAGAAAATTTTTTTCATTAGTTGCCGAATATGATTCACTGCAAAATTCTGAAGTAAAAAAAAGAAAAAACTTTTTTTCATGCATAAGCACTACAAAAGAACTATTTTAAATACTTATATTTTGCTTGTTTTAAGAGAACTTTTTTCAAATTTTAAAATAAAGCTTTTGTATTTACTTTTAAATTACTCCAAAAATTTTGTTTAATTTTACTGAATGTTCTTAAAGTTCTAGTAAAAACACTTATGACAAAAAAATTAGTTTTTTTTTTATAAAAATGTCCTTATTCCTATAAATATTTAAGCTGAAATTTCAAAATTTCGTGCAGTTGTTGCACATAACAATTACAGTAATCGATATAAGTTACAAACTTATTGCTTGAGGGGTGTTTAAAAAAACTAGTTTTCTGTCGTAGTTTGTTGTCGACCCCTCATGCGTCTGAAAGCATTAAACCTTATTGCAAAATATGAAAAATAGCATTAACTAAACAACTCAAAAGTTTCAAAATAGTCCTATGAGTATTTATTGAAAAATTTTTAAAAAATGACGAAGAGTGAAAGTGTCTTATTGGAGGGTGGTTTATCGTGATGAGTTTATAAATCTCTGTTGTGATCAAGAAAATTTAATGATCCCTTTTTGAAAACTAATTTTATTGTATGCATTTTAATATTATTCTCTTCTCTATGAATTTTATATTTATTTTCTTCAAAGAACGCAATATGAGCCCCTCTCTACTTTCCTTGTTTACCTAAAAGGCGTAAACTATTTTCACAAGCGTTAGTTGTTAGCCAAAGGGTTCCGTTTCAAGGCCGATTGGCAATGATAATAGTAATGTGACTGGCCATCTTTATTACTTAAATAAGTAATACAGCCTACTGAAATCACGTAAGTCCTGAGAATATTTAATTTTAGATGGTTTTATAAACCAGAATTGAACTTTGAAAAAAAAATGTCTAAGTTAAATTTTACAAATACACTAAAAGATAAAATGCTAAAAATTTTTTTTTTATTTTCACAGAAATTATATTTGACACCTTAATTAAACATCAGTACTGATTTTTTTTTTAAATTTACATATGCATTTAAAAATATTAACATATTAAAATTACGAAAGAAGAATTACGAAAGCGGATTTCTCACAATACTTGATCCAAGAGTTCCTTTGTCTTTTGGATTGGGTTCAAAATTACAAGGCTACGGAGATGATCATTGGTAGTCGTACCCACAAAATAGGATCGGTTGTTTATTGACGAACCTAGTTCGAATTTCAGTGGACTGCCGCGAAGTGTTATTAACTCATTCGTCGTAGTTTTGAGACATATAATGGGGGAATGTGTGAAGTGGGAGTAGAATTGGGGGAGAAGGGGTGCCAAGCACCAAATAGTAGTCATGAGTCGGTTGACCAAATGATGAAATCAATAAGAAATTAAACATAATTGAGATTAAACAAGACTAGAATATAATAATATTTTCAGGGTTCGGAATAATATTAACATTTAGGCCGGTGTAATTAAATATATGCAACAATTTACATATTTACACGAGATTGTCAAGAATCTGTCAACGATGAAGATAAGGTTGTATAAGCGATAGATAGTCCGGCAACTACCTTGTCTGCTACTTTGTTAGGGTAATGATGACCCCGGCTTCCTGGTAATACCACTCATATCTGGGTTGCTCATCACACGTAGTTTATAGCATATCCTTCAGTATTTTACTTACGTGCAAAATATAATTATCAGTTGTAATAGATTAAAGCCGAAATTTTTAACACAGATAGAACTCTTCTAAAACCTTTGATCAAGACTGATGAATAACCAATTTTCCATTTGATCTTTAATATATATATGTTTAAATTACTTGCATGTTGTGGTATTCTAACAAATTACAATATCAATGCATAAATATTTTAACCCCTAGAAAAATTGTTTTCTGGAATTATGGAAATTTGAACCAATCCAGAAGACAAAGAAACTCCTGAATCAGTACCCCCAGAGGTATAATTTGTTGTGGGTAAATGGAGGACTTTGAGACTCGACAGATTTAACGTGCATCAATCACCATTGACTACACGGGGTGTCTTCGGTCGGCAGGGATCGAACCCACAACTACTTGGATAGGGGCCCAGTGCCCTACCAACCAGGCTATCCCAGATATATTCAATCCATTTAACTAATCAATCTTAACTACCACCACCATTGCAAATTATCAAATTTAAAACCGAAACAGACTTTGATTATTGCTAACTTGTGCGGCCGTTGAGAAATAATTATCTTAGTGGTAGCAACATTAGCGTTTTGGCGTATTAAATCTTGAAGTTTAACGTTTCAAAAAAAATTGTCGACCACTGAGTTTTTTGTTTATCTATTTTATCAACAATCTATTGTTTTACATACTTAAGCAATAATCCCAACCATTTTTCAGGCAACACTTGCAAACTGGAGCAATGTTTTCTATACAGCAGCCGCTGTTTATTTGTTTTGCGGAACAATCTTTGCAGTATTTGGATCTGCAGAACTACAAACCTGGGGAAGTGCAGAAAATAAATCAGAAAAAGAAGCATCGAGTGAAAAGAATTCTGATGAAGTTGAAATTAAAACGTCACTTTAAGTTCTAGCATTGAATTAAGAAGAACAAAACCCACCAAATACTACTTAAGGATGTTAAATAATATTAAATAAGGACCACCAGTTTAAGAAAACACTACCGAAGAATGTGAAGCTGGATTAAATATTGAGCATTAATTCAAATTGTTTTTAGTATATACACTGTAAAAAATGAATACTCAAATTTCACGAGACTTATTTCGTCTTGAACGAAATCGAGTCCTAGAATATGCTCCGAGCGAACATTTCTTCAGAGTGACGAAATAACTTTCGTCATTTCTTGAGGGAAATAAATTTTGTAAAAATTTAAAAAAAATATATTTCATCATTCTATTTTCAATAGTCTAGTTTTCATTCTAATGTCACAATCTACTACCAGATAAATGCTTAGTTCCGAATTTAGGAGATATTTTCATCATACATTTGAGAATTCGTGCTTCGCCACAAATCGCGTGATTGCGTGACGAAATGATTCTCAATGTTAACGAAGTATAGCACAATGATTGTAGAATCGTCAAAAGTGAGAGTCTTAGTTATGAAAGTGTATTTATTTCATTTTATGTTATTTATTTGTTGCATAAATCATATTTTGTATTTTTTAAGAATGAAAAAAAAATAAAAAGAGACAATTTTTGTCTTCAGATTTCTTTCTTCAATGATTTATCTTTAAACTTTGATGTTCGTAGTTAATATCAGCCCAAAGTGAAAAAAAAGGAAATCGAATATGTCATTTTCTTTGTTTTTTCTACCGTTTAAAACATAATTAATTTTTATAACAGTCATTTCACCTTTATTTGGTATCGATTTTCATAAAAAAAAATTCACTTTATTTTAAATTGTATTTTTTATTCTCTTAATATGAAGATTTTATAAACACATTACATCGTAAGTTTTATGCGTATTCATGAAATATAGACTCTTTTTTAATATTTATCAAACGTATTGAGTTAGAGTTTTACATGTAGTGGGTTTAATTTAAAAGCTTCCCTCTTAACGTTAACTTAGAAATAGTAAAGTTATTTAAACAACAGCCATCATTTATTGCATTGATTTCTACAATTTATTTATAAAATGTGTTGTTTGTTTTAATTTTGTGTCTAAATTTGTATATTTATAAAAACATATTAAAAGAAAGTTTATGTCTCTGTGTATGTTTAACAAAAACAAAAATCTTTCTGTTTCTTAAATAGTACTTTGACATTTCGTAAGGTACAGTAGAATACATGTATAGTCTACATGTATAGTTTCTAAAACATAACTATACAAATAACCTAGAAATTAAATCAAATTTCCAGGTAATTACAAGGTTTCCTAGGGGTCTATGAAAGCAAAAAAATTAGTAATAAAATTCAAAATTATGTTAAAAAAAACTAAAGTTGGCAGCTTTTCATAGCATACTTTTTAGTACACTAGTAATTTTTTTTCACTAGCCATTTAGTAGAGATTGCAATAAAAGAAATTAACATATATATGTTCCGAAGAGCAGTGGTGGCTCAGGGGATAGAGCACTCGTCTTTCAATAAGGTGAACCGGGTTCGAATCCTAGCAATGGCTGGTCGATTCAAAATTCCGCACCCGGCTCGCATCGACCAGACAGATGATGTGAAATATCTTCGCAGTAGATGGATCATGGGTTACAGTCCCCTTGCCGTCAGGCTAGCAATGGCAGGTTTTCATCTCCTTGCTACGCAAATGCGGATTAGTTTCATCAAAAAGTCAGTCCTTCACGAAAGCAAATTTCTCCCAATTTCTGAGTTAAGATCTAGGAGTTCTCTTGTCTTTTGGATTGAGTTCAAAATTACAAGACTACTGGGTTAAACATTGGTATTCGTAAACCCAAAATTGGGTCGGTTGTTCAATGACTGTTATAAAATGAAATATAAAAATGAAATATATGTTCCGAAAAGTGTTTCATTAAAAGATAGCAAAAAGGTAGTCAAGATAGAATTGTATGTGGATATAATCTTATTAATTTGCTAAGACCTCAACATACATTTATTTAAATAACTCACTTTAATCTTTGCGCTAAAATTTATTTTTGCTTGTAATTGGTGTTTCTGAAAAAAATTATAAAAGGGGCACTGGTGTCTTGCCTTCGTCAAAGGGATAAATAAATAAGAATATTTTATTGTTATGTATAGTGTGCGTGTTGATTGAAGTAACTTCAAATGAATTCTAATAGCTAAAAAAAAGATTGCCTAATCACTTTTAAAATAAAAATGAAATTTTAGTACAATCCGTAATGGTTGAAAGTTAATAGTTAATGTAGTAAGAATAAAAGACCTATTTGTATATCCGCACAGTGATTTTCTGTGATGAAGAAACGGTTGCTATACAATCATTGAGAACCATTTTTCTTAGCTGTAGCATTTACTATCAAAAGTAAGAATCTCAATTTCAAAATTTAATTCTTAAATTCTTTAATCTAACTCTGCAAATCAATATATATTCTAGAATAGTGAGTCTAAAATTAAAGAGTCTAGAATTAAATATTTTCTTTTATGTTTGTTACACGAACAAAAATATGTTGGATATAGAAAAATATATGATGAATAGAGAAAGGTACTCTAGGTCACGATGTTTCAATCTAGCTGACTTAAACATCCTGCTCTCCTGTTTGGTATTCTCTTAATTAAAAAATTTATTTTTGATTTTCATTAGTTCAGATAGCAAATTTTAAAAGAAATAAAATCTACCCTTATAATTGCCACCAACTACAGCCAAGGGGAAAACCTCAAAAAAAGAAGAAGAAAAAAATAGCAAGTCGTAAAAGGAAGCTGGATTGTAAATTAGCCTCTGGGGTCAGGTATATTATTCTCGAAGACGAAAGGCAATAGTACTTCCAAGTGTTGGCACCGTATCTTAATTTTAAAAAAAATAATCTCAGTTCGCTATCTTACTACAAGATTTACCAACTGCACCGGAATCGACAAAACATTTCAAAAACTGGTTGTGAATTATAAAATAAAATTTTCAGGCATTCGATTAATTTTACCAACTTTTTTAAAAGACTCAACGTAGCTTAACTGAAACAAAGTGGCACATCACTTAAACTTTTGAATTACTTACAAATGGTGGTGAATAAAAACCGGATAAATGGAAATTACTAAACCAAGAATCATACATTAAAAGACTACCACTTGAGAATACTTATCCACTGTCCGGAGCAAATTGGCATTTCTGTACAACCGCTTAGTAAACTCTTTTCCAAAGGCAGTACTAGTTTCCAGATATGTATATACATAACAGTCACGTATAAGAAACATTACAGAGTATAACAACCTATAAGAAATATTTGATCATAAAATACTTGACACTAATCACTTCCAGTCTCTTGCACAAAATAAGAAACTGTTAGAGTTGCAAGAAAACACTATTTCTTCATACTCAGCCGGATGTCGCTTGTTAAAATCATAAATCACTCTATCTTCTCTTAATCCTTTCGTTTTGTTTGATGCAATATGATTCGAAAGTTTCTCTTGCTGTAGTAATAATGACAAAATTATCAGCTCTTTCAGAAGTTCGTGAAAATTATGGGTTATGTTTTTTGAACTTTAGTTAATTTAATAACTGGATATTAAATTACACTTATCTTGATTAAATTATTTTCCATTTTATAAAAGTAAGCTTTAAACGAAAAGATGTCATCTTTTTTCTGATAATAAGTTATATTTTATTGCTGTATTCTTTTCAAATGGGTAATAAAGCAGTAAATTTAAACCGGTAAGGCCGACAGCAGTTACCACGTGCAGAGAGCTCAGTGACATTTAGGCTTTTTTTTCCTAAAATATATTTGTTTCGTTTCGGTATCTCGGGTTTGCAGGATTACTAATAGAAATTTTTTTTTATAAAATGGTTCGACGGAAATTTTCTATAAAATTTCCTTAAGCATAACGTCTTTTTCACTTCCTCAATTCTTCACAAAAATGGATCACAAAAAGGAAGAAATCAATGAATCAGCACGTATGTATCTTTAGTTTTTCAATTTGCTAATAATGACCTCATGACTGCCAGTAATTATGCTTTTTGTCAACTAAATGTAGCATAAAATGTAGCTGATTAATTATGAAAAAATTTTAGAAATTGTATTACTCCAATATTCATTCTTTGTTGTGGTTCAATTACGTTGTACTAGAGCTGCACAATAAGCTATTGGTAATTGGCAATTTTGTAATCTGGTAATCTTATTACGAAAATATTTTAAATCATTCTTGAAAAATTCCGGTACCTGTAAGTTGAATTCCCTTCTCGCTTTATGGATTTCGTTTACTGTTGTGTTCTGTATTTTCTCTACATTTTATTTTCTGTTTTTTGCTGATATGTTTTATTTCATATAAATTATTTGCTTAATGTGTTCTATTTTTGTTTCAATTTTTTAATGCTCCTCACACTATTTTATTGATATAAATTTTACTCAGGCTATATTGGTACAATATTAGAAAGCACTTCTTTTTGCAGATATAATCTGAGAGCGGATGAAGAGATTATATCTTTTAGTTATTTTGTGTTCTAGCTTTTTATTTCTCGAAAAGAAATTTTTTTTTAAATATTTTTACAAATATTTTATTTTAAAATTTTTTTTTCTTCTCTTTTCAGTAATCTTTATTATTTTCCATGTTTTCTATTTAAATACCACTTTTAATGAAAT